AGTTCATTACGAAGAGTCCATTACGTTGTGGAAAGTATTATATGGACATCCTCATGGACTTGCTTAGAGACGGATTGAACATAAAAAGGAAAAAATGCGATGACTTGTTATTTGTTGCGACTTTCACCAGTTAATATTATAAAATATATATATTTCTTTATATACAATATGCTATGATCATACAATATATAATATGGACAGATCTACATGGACAAATATACAAATATCCTATATTGTTCTCATCAAACCAGGTACGTAAAATCCATTAAGTAGAGTCCATTGAGCATATGTTCATATGCAGATATGCAGAACTATGGACAGATCTACATGTGCAAATCCACAAATCATCAAATTAGACATGTAGTATCTATTGAGGAGACATGCAGTCCATTAAGTAGAATCTATTAGGTATAATCCATTAAATAGATGTCTATTAGATAAAACTTTAAACTCTAAACCCTAAACCCTAAACCCTAAAATCTAAATCCTAAGAGGGAGATAAGAGTGAGGGGTTCGGAAACGGCGACAGAGGAAAAGAAAGTGTCCGGCTTTGGTAAAATTCGGATACAAACATGCATTAGGGTTTTACTGTGTAGAGGAGAAGAAGGTAGGTTAACAAGTAACACGAAAGGTTATATTGTAATGTTGGAAAAGATGTCCACTGTGCCCTGTCCATTAATTTTACCCACCAAAAGCCCATATAAATGGTTTAGATATGGATATGTACCTCTAAACTTATTACGGCACGTTCTGTTATCTATCATCGACTGAGTGTACGCTAACATATGGACATGTACTCCTCATCCACGATTTAAAATCACAAACGAATTCGAAAATTCTTTATTCGTTTGTATATAGATTTTTAAAAAGTTTGACAAATTCATATTCTGAATAATTGGTTGGTATTTGGTAAAATAGTATAACTAGATAAATCAGAAAAATAATTTTCGTATATGGTTTGTACTCTGAAAAGGAGCTTATGAATATAATCAACATTACAAATAATAAAGGAACAAATAAATACAAAATGACGTGAGGAAAGTAAGCAGAGAAAAATGGTGTAGCAGTGTAGCTTTGTAGCAGCTTCCACAAAATAAAAAAATAAAAGAATAATAATGAATTATCTAACTATTTAGTTGGAAATAAAGGAGTGGCAGAATTGTTATTATGGAGATAAATCAAGGTCATGGGTGACCTATATTTTCACTATAGTTGTGAAGATTTTGGAAAAGATGGGAAGTATCTTTTTCTGTTATAACTTTTGAAAAAGTGCCTTATTGTTGTAATAACTAAGGTTCTAAACGGTATTTATAAGGCTTTTACAAGGTTTTTATATAGTTTTTAAATGATTTTAAAGGAATTTATATGTTATTTATAATATATATATATATATATATATAAATTTACACACATATAAGGATAATATTATTGGAATACAAACCAATATCCCACATCGGAAGATTAGAAACAAAAGTTTCTAATATATAAGTCAAGTCCAACACCAATTAGTATGAGGCCTTTTGGGAAGGAGCCCAACAAATCCGTGCGGGCTTGAGTGATAGGCCCAAAGCGGACAATATCATACTAACGGGAAGTTTGTTTGGTTTAGAAAACCCAGCAAATATGTGTCTATATATATATATATAAATTTACACACATATAATGATAATATGTGTCTATATATATAAGCTTACACATATTTGTTTTGATAAATTTCAAAATTTTAGTCACTTTTTGATAAAATTTTAAAAAATGTAATTTTATAAAGTGGTATTGGGAAAAAGTATTTTTGAAATTCTCAATATTTTATTTTTTATTAATATAAATTTATATTTCTATTATACACATGTATTTGAGTTCCAGGTCGACCGTAACGACTGGAAGATATGACAATGCGGGGTAATCAAACTCTTAGAGGTCCCTTGATGAATCATAACAATGCGATTACAGAGAGACAACCTTGATTACAGTCTATGGCAAAGTAATGAAGAGCAGAATGAGAGAAGCGAGAAGGTAACATAATCTACATTTATAGATTTTGTACAATATTAAGGGAATTTGAAATCTTTGTGTATCTGCAATCTTAATTTTTCTTTTAACTTTTTAATCTTGAACCATTATCTGAAGAAAGCATTTGAATATTATAGTATATTGTGTTAAATCATCTGATGACTAAAGTTTATAAGATCCAGTCCAGAGATATAAAAAGAATCGTTTCTGATAAAACCTTCTCAATGCCGACAGCTTTTGAATTCAGTTAATTAGTTAAAAATCAGATCACTAACGGTGATTAGTTAACTACTAGTAATATGTTATAGTTGAACCTTTTACATTGAATCATAAACTAATTATGATCCCATGAATAAGCCAAACCTTAATAATCCATGATTTTATTATATAAAGTATTTTTTTTTCTTTTGTCACACCACATAAATTTATTCAAGATTTTTTTTATCATAATCCCATCATATTTACAAGAACTCAAGCTTACGTTTAATTTTACAGATTTAAATAAAAACCACATTTGTTTGAGAACTTTAATAAAGTATAAGAATTAACAAAAAAAAATTACTATTCAATTTTATAACTATTCAATAATATCTATTTATACACAATTCAATCAAAAAGAAAACAATCTCCATAATATATTGAAATTTGAAAACATAGTCAAACTTAAAACAATTAAAAAATCAGTAAATTATCAAATATAAAAATGGAGGGAATAGTATATAACTAGGTTAGGCCAGTCTAGATATGCAGGTTAAAAAGAAAATTTGCCAAAAATATTTGAAATTTAAATGATAAGTTATTTTAAAAAATTCAGATTAATACATATATAGTGAAAATTTATATCTTTATCTTAATAACTTGGATCCTAAACATATATAGGTTTAATAAATTAAAATTTAAATAAGCAATTCAATAATAAATAGGAGAAAAATAGATAAATAATTTACTAATAACCGTGTGTCTAAATTGGAGAATAACATAATTCCAATTTTTAGTCAAATTATGAGCAATAGAGGTAGGTTTCTGCTAATTCAAAGGTTAAAAATTTTAAAATTAATTTACACTGTTAACTAACCTCTTTGGTTTAAGCAACCAACACAATAATTGAGTATAAGATTAGAAATAATTTATAGGATTAGTAATACATAATTGGAAGAATAAGAGACTTACCGAGTAAAGGAAACTTTATCTTGTACTTGATTCTCAGAATTGGCGACCTAAAACATATAAATGCATCTGCAGTCCAAGTTTGAGCCTTGCGTCTGCAGTCCCTCTTGTGTTTCCCTAAGCTTGTCTGAAGTAGTATATTGATGATCCTTGTCGGCTCTAAGGATTAGTAACAGGTAAATCATTCACCAAGTTTTCACCTGACACAAATCAGAGCTTTTGCCAACACAGTTAGAGTTGAAATGTAGGAGCTGTTGTTGTCAAATTCATACAAAACAGAACCAAAAGAGTAACTTTAAAACAGAGGAAGAGAGATATCATCAAGATCAAATATATATCTTTCTTTCTCAAAAGTTTCAGTAAATCAAAAGGGTAATATGCATTTATAGGAAATCTAAGTAAATATAATATCACTAAAAATAAATCAAAATATATATGCTAAGTAAGCACATAAATTGAATAAATGAACTGACAAAAGAATATAATTTATAAATAAAAAGGTCTGTAAAAGGAGAAAATATTATTTAAACTCTTTTTCACACTATATATCTTGTAGTTAAAGTTAACTTATTAAATATAATAAATTTTTAGATAAGTTAATAATTATTAATTTTTATTTTTACTATCTATAAATATTTTGGAATATATATTGAGAATTTTTTAGAAATACCCCTTTTGGTGTACCCCTTTTAAAAATATCCCTTTTGGTGTACCATTTTTAAAAAATACCCTTCTTTTATATCCATTTTCAAAAATACTCCTTTTTAAATATGAAAAATATAAACTTTTATATGGTTGATAAGATACATCAAGATCATCATTACTACTGGGAGACTAAATCCAAATATTTATAAGGTTCTAAACAACATTTATAAGGTTTTTATAAATTTTTAAAAAGTTAACAAAGTTTCTATAAAGTTTTTAAATGATTTTTAAAAGGTATTTATACGGTAGTTATGAAATATATATATAAGTTTACACACATATATAGATAAATTGTGTCTATACATATTAGCTTACACATATGTTTTTGATAAATTTCAAATTTTACAATGACTTTTTGATAAAATTAGAAAGAGAGATATTTTTGAAACTCCCCCATATATTTTTATAGAAAAAACTATAACTTAATTAAATATATTAAATTTGGTGAAATGATAATTGATTAAAAAATTTTAAATAAAAACTTATAAATGATGTAATATTGTTGTAAACCACATGCATTGTATTATTTGAATAGAATTAATTTGAATAGAGGTTATTATGCAATGATAATAGTCATACAACTTCGTAAATTACTATGCTATATATCATGGTAAGCATTAATCTACTGAGTCAATATGAACATAAATATAAATCTAAAATAGTCTTTTTTGGACAGAAAAAAATATAAATCTACAATACTTAAAAATATGAAAAACTCATACAAAATATGATAGTCACAAATAAATAAAAAATCGAAATTATGAAATTAAAAAAGGGCTGATGTCTTCTTTTCTTGTTTGTTTGTCTGAGGTTTCCAGCTACTTCCATGAATTTCCCGTTGCCTATCTGCTTCATTGATTCGAACGTAAATGTTAGAGAAGTTACTTGATGCTTGTGTAGACTTTTCTCATATTTGTGCCATGGAAATAGCAAAACCACTACAGAACCCAAATGACTTTGATTCTAAAGAAAAATCAATGAACGAAGCTTCCTCTCTTGCTAGTTGCTAAAGACTCTGTTCTCAGTCAATGGAGTCAACATCAGTTAAGAATCTTATCCTCTCTTATACCAAAAAATAATAATAACTTGTGATCAACGTTCATTTGTATAGTCTCTTCTACATAGCTCTCTTTAACGCTCTCTCCAATCATCTTTCCAATCATACTTGCTAATGGATTCTTCTTCTTTTTTCCTTACCACTATTGTTGCTGCAACAATAGGCTTGTTCACGATTTTAAGAAAACTCAGACTCCATCAAGAAGATGACGAAGAAGCTTCATCTCCTCCATCTTCTTTGTCTCCGTCATCTTCTCCATCTTCTCTAAATCGCATATGGACACACCATGTCTTTCCAAGCTTCCGTGGGGAAGATGTCCGTAGAGACTTTCTTAGTCACATTCAGATGGAGTTTCAAAGAATGGGAATCACACCATTCATTGATAATGAGATCAAGAGAGGAGAATCCATCGGTCCTGAACTCATTCGGGCCATTAGAGGATCCAAGATCGCAATTATCTTACTCTCGAGAAACTACGCTTCTTCGAGTTGGTGTCTTGACGAATTGGTGGAAATTATGAAGTGCAAGGAAGAATTGGGTCAAATAGTGATGGTTGTTTTCTATAAAGTGGATCCCTCTGATGTGAAAAAACTAACCGGAGAATTTGGGAAAATCTTCAGAAAAACTTGTGCCGGTAAAACAAAGCAGGACACTGGGAGATGGAGACAAGCTTTGGCTAAAGTAGCCACAATCGCTGGTTACCATTCAAGAAACTGGTTTGTTTTTTTCTATTTTCATTTAAATCTGTTAAATTATCTAACAAACATCTAAATGTACATATTTATAGCTAGTTTTTCTTAAAGCATAAAAATTAAATTCATAGTATTGTAGTGTATGTTCTCTACATAATTGCTTAATCGATGTAGTGATCTCTTCTATTGTTAGGGATAATGAAGCGGCTATGATCAAACAAATCTCTACTGATATTTCCAACGAGTTGAATAATTCAGCATTATCAAGTGATTTTGACGGGTTGGTTGGTATGAGAGCTCATTTGAAGAAGATGGAACCATTGTTATGCCTAGATTCAGATGAAGTGAGGATGATCGGGATTTGGGGTCCTTCTGGGATCGGGAAAACCACCATTGCTAGAGTTGCATACAACAAATTCTCCAATAATTTTCAGCTAAGTGTCTTTATGGAATCTATAGAAGTAAAGTATACAAGACCTTGTTCTGATGACTATAGTGCAAAGTTGCACTTACAACAATTATTTATGTCTCAAATAACTAACCAAAATGATATGAAGATTTCTCATTTAGGAGTTGTTAAAGACAGACTAAAAGACAAGAAAGTTCTTGTTATTCTTGATGGTGTGGACCAGTCAATACAACTAGAAGCCATGGCGAAAGAAACTCGGTGGTTTGGTCCTGGGAGTCGGATTATCATCACAACGCAAAATCGAAAGATTTTTAGGACACATGGGATCAACCATATTTACAAGGTGGACTTTCCACCAGATGACGAGGCTTTTCAAATCTTTTGCACGTATGCTTTTGGTCAAAATTCCCCTGAATATGGGTTTAAAGAACTATCTCAAGAAGTTACAAAACTTGCTGGTAATCTCCCTTTGGGTTTAAGGGTTATGGGCTCTTATTTTCGAGGAATGTCTAAGAAAGAGTGGGAAAAGGAATTACCAAGGCTAAGGAATAGCCTTGACTCTGATATTCATAGCATTTTGAAGTTCAGTTATGAGGTCTTAGATGACGAAGAAAAATACTTGTTTCTTCATATAGCTTGCTTTTTTAATCATCAAGTGATTGAGAAAGTGGTTGCTCATCTTGCATATCTATTCTACGATGTGAGACAAGGGCTTAACGTCTTAGCTGAGAAATCTCTCATAACTATAGAGCATGGAAGAATAAATATGCATAATCTGCTAGTCAAACTTGGTAGAGATTTAGTTCGCAAACAGTATGTTCGTGAGCCTGGACAACGTCTATATTTAGTTGATGCAAGAGAAATTTGTGAAATACTCACTGATGATGTAGGAGTAAGTTCTGACATATATCCCAACAAATCGTGTTATTTGATAATGAATCATCTCTCATTATTTTTGTTCTTTTTCAGGCTAATAGAAGATTAATAGGCATAAATTTCGATTCCGGCACCAACGTCAAGAAAAATATTAATATAAGTGAGAAAGCCTTTCAAGGAATGACTAATCTCCGGTTCTTAAAATTCCAGGGGGGTAACAATACTGTAGATCTACCCTATGGTCTAGAGTATATGTCTCAAAATCTTCGATTATTACAATGGCCCTATTTTCCAATGACATGTTTGCCTCTGATATTCAACTCGGAATTCCTAGTTGAAATAGAGTTGAGGTATAGCAAACTTGAGAAGCTGTGGGAAGGAATTAAAGTAAGTAAATATTTTATTTAATTTTCATAAAATTTAAATTAATTTCAAATAAATATCTTTTTGTTGTTATAATTTTATTTTAATTAATTATTAAAGCATGTAAGAGTGTTTTTAATGTCCTTTTGTACAGTTTTTTTTTAATTGAGTGTTGATAAAATGTTCTTATTATTTGTCTGTATAGCCGCTTCCAAATCTCAAGTGGATGGATTTGAGTTGGTCTAAAAACCTAAAGGAGCTTCCTGATCTCTCAACAGCCACCAATCTTTTGGAATTGGATCTCAGAGATTGCTCCAGCCTGGTGAAGCTCCCATCGACTATTGGGTATACTAAAAATCTTCAGAAATTGAATCTTTGTGGTTGCTCAAGTTTGATAAGTCTCCCCTCTTTCATTGGAACTTCCACTAATCTGCAAATATTAAATCTCGGTGGATGCTCAAGTCTAGTGGATCTTCCTTCCTTTGTTGGTAATTTCATCAATCTAAGAGATTTGGATCTTAGCAATTTAGCAAGTTTGGTGGAGCTTCCTTCTTTTGATGGTAATTTCATCAATCTAAGAACATTGAATCTTAGCCGTTTATCAAGTCTAGTGGAGCTTCCTTCCTTTGTTGGTAATGCCATGAATCTTGAGAGTTTGGACCTTAGCGATTGCTCAAGTCTGGTAAAGCTTCCCTTTTCTATTGGAAACCTCCAGAAGCTGCAGTATTTGTTCTTAACCGGGTGCTCGAGTCTAGTGGAGCTTCCTTCCTTTGTTGGTAATGCCATGAATCTTGAGAGTTTGGACCTTAGCGATTGCTCAAGTCTGGTAAAGCTTCCCTTTTCTATTGGAAACCTTCAAAAGCTGGAGGCTTTGAGACTACAAGGATGCTCGAAGCTAGAGTTTCTTCCGACCGACATCAATTTGAAATATCTCTATGAACTTGATCTCACGAATTGCTTACTGTTGAAATTGTTTCCTGAGATCTCCACGAGCCTTAGAACTCTCAAAATCATAGGAACTGCAATAGAAGAAGTGCCTTCATCAATCAAATCTTGGTCTCGTCTCACATTTTTGAGTATGACATATAGTGTAAAACTCAAGGAATGTCCTCATGCTTTTGACGTCATCACAGATCTGTACGTGAACGATGAAGAAATACAAGAGCTTCCTCCATGGGTCAACGAATTCTCTCGTCTGCATCAACTCGTGCTCAAGGGATGCAAAAAGCTGGTGTCAATCCCACAGATTCCAGATTCCCTCACTTACATAACTGCAATTGATTGTGAGTCCTTGGAAGAGTTTCCTCCGTGGATCAACAAATCCTCTCGTCTGCATCAACTCGTGCTCAAGGGATGCAAAAAGCTGGTATCACTCCCACAGATTCCAGATTCCCTCACTTACATAATTGCAGAAGATTGTGAGTCCCTAGAGAGACTAGATTGCTCCTTTCCAAATCCATATATTTCTCGTCTCAATTTTGCTAAGTGCTTCAAATTGAATCAAGAAGCCAGAGACCTCATCATCGGAGCACGGCCTAGTGAATTTACCGTCTTACCTGGCGGAGAAGTGCCTGCATACTTCACTCACCGAACTGTTACCGGAGGTTCCTTGACAATTAATTTAAACGAGAAGCCTCTTCCTATATCCATGAGATTTAAAGCTTGCATTTTGCTGGTTAATGAAAGTGACGATGAGACTTGCTCTCACGTTTCTGTTACGTGTAAAAATAGCGAGAGAACAATATATGACATTTTTACAGAGCATTTGTACATATTCGAAGTGGAAATGGACGTGACTTCCAGCGAGCTTGTCTTTGAGTTCAAGGTTCGCCGAAACGTTTGGGAGACAAGACAGTGCAATTGGAAGATAGGACAATGCGGGGTAATCCAAGTCTCTGAGATCCCTTGATGAAACTGTAGTCTACGGTAAAGTATTGGAGACGGTCACTACAATTCAAGAGAACACTGAGAGAAGCAAGAAGGTAATTTAATCTACGTTATTAGATTTTGGCTGCTCTGTTTCTCGCCATCATCGTTTCACCAATTTGCGTTTTCTCATCTGAAATTCAGCAGATCGGTTCTAATCATAATTTAATGAATGATCTGGACGCAGCTAAGCTCAGAACATCTCAATTGGGTAATAAAGTTTAGCTCTTTTGGTTCGTGGTGGTTATTGGGTTTAACAACAAAATCATCTCTTTTTCTGTGTGTGCTAATTGTATTGTTTTGGCTCTGATCATTTAGAGGCTGTTCTTGAGGCGACCATAGAGAAGGTGGATGCTAAGACCCTTTACTTGAAGGAGCGTGAGAAGATGTTGAAAGTCAGATCCAGAGTTTGCAGTTTGCTTCATACAGTGATGAGGTTTGTATTGGGAAGTCAACGGATGCAAGTATAGAAATTAGCTAATGATGAGGGAATGAATGTGGTAGGACAATAATTAGATCGTCTGTTCTGTATCTGAGGCTATGGAGCTTTATCATCATATCTGTAGTTGCAGCTGCCACTTCTGTCTAGTAACAACTTCCACACTAATCAGATGGTTAAGTGTTGTTGATAAGAAAACGTTCCAAAGCACCTTTCATGTTTTGATTCTTCTTCTTTTTTTGTTTGGCTAACGATCTCGGTTTTTGGCTCTAAAAGGTGTTCTGAAAATTTGGGAGCAAGATCTTTCCAAGGATATAATAATCATCTTCTGATTTCTTGTGGTTTGATGGGAAATTTGCTCTCAAAGTTGGATGTTCGCAGGTCGTATCAGTCAAGATCTGTCTTGGGAAATTGGCCGTAACTCTCAAACCGGAACTCCAAATCGTGATCCGTTTTTTCCTGTGGTTTCGTATGACTGTTATTGATATTCCACCAAATTTTGTAAGTTTCTGGGTTTTTTTGCTACTCCGTTTGTCCTCTGCATCAAGACAGATACAAATACTGCAGTGAAATCAGTAGTGAAGAAAGGTAATGCATTCATTGGTCTGTATTGTGTCTGTTTGTCCTTGAATGCTTTCTCTTGAATGAGTGAGTAAGTGAAAGAGTTGAGTCTGTTTATGACATGTTGGCAAGCTAATTTGTTTTACAGTTTTATTACTTTTGAGTTTTATAGTTTTTGTTCTTAAAAGAGTTGCGTCTCTTGTATGGTTTCTGTTCATGAATGAGTTTGTGTTTCGATCAGTTTTTGTTCTTAATGAGCTGCGGTTTTAGTTTTAGGTTATGTTCTTGAACTAGATTACCGCGGGTAAACATTTTTTTAATTCATATTTTTAAAAATTTACAGATTTTATTGAAGTTTATTTAATAATTATTAAAATTACATAATATTAATCTTTACTAAATTATTTTAATTATGCATGTCCTATATTGGTGTTTTTAAGAAAATTGTAAAATAAAGATTTTGACTCGCATTGAAGTATGAGATAATGATATTTTAATGAGAATTTTTGATAAATACCTCTTTTGGTGTATCTCTTTTTAAAAAGGGGGAATTTCAAAAATAGCCTTTTTCATATACCTCTTTTTAAAAATACCCCCTTTTCAAACTTTATCAAAAAACCCACTAAAAATGTTGAAATTTATCCAAATATGTGTGTAAGCTTATAAATAAATACGCAAATTACCTTTATATGTGTATAAAACTTTATATACCTTTCATAAATAGCGTAAAAATAAATTATCAAAACCTTATAAAAACCGTATAAACCCTTTTAAAAACCTTTTAAAAACCTTATAAAACTTATAAAAACGATTTAAAACTATTCAAAACATTTTAAAATATTTGTATCGAATCTCCCAGTAGTAGTTATTATATAGAAATACCTTATAAACTATATAAAACTTTATAATTTTTTATATTTAAAAAGGGGTATTTTTGAAAATGGATAGATAAAGGGGGTATTTTTAAAAAGGGGTACACCAAAAGGGGTATTTCTCAAAAAAATCTCTTTTAAAAATGTGATATACACAATAAAACACTTTATGTTTATGATAAACGACATAAGTCACAATATAAGCAGCACCAACTTTTGCCACTGTTTGTCCACAAAAAAGACATATTTGAACGAAGTTTTGCTGGAAAAGAAAGAGAGAGAAATGACAGTTTTTCAGTCTGATTCGTTCGTAAAATTATTTGTTTGGTTTCGCTAAATTTAAATTTTTTAAATGTATAGGCTTTGAGTTTTGTTGGACTTTTAGGGTAGAGGTTCACTTTTAACAATTATAAAGTTTTATTTGAGTTTTAAAAACAAAGCGAGAAGGTTTCAATTTCTAAATAGAGGTAATTTTGAATTTTAAACAGAGGTTTTGTGAAGTGAGAAGTTTTCAAATTTCGACAACAAATATCGATGGATACAGAGGTAATTCTTGTATAGAAAATTTAAACATGCATGTGTTCCTTAATCGGCCTTTGATAGAGAAACCCATGTTTGGTTAATTTGTTTCTTGATATGAACGAATTATACTTTGATTCTAAAAGAAGTACTTTTGTTCAGGAAACAATGGATGATTTTACAATAGTCCATTTGTAGTTGAACATATGTTTAAACGTCGTTCATATAGATGTCCATGAAGCGCTGACCATGATCAAGCCTCCATTACAATCCATGAAGCGTCGACCATTATCAAGTTTGGTGAATATAGATGTCCATGAAACATCGGTAATTACCAAACATCCATTACAAAAAGAGTTCAGTACGAAGAATCCATTACGTTGTGGAAAGTATTATATGGACTTGCTTAGAGACGGATTGAATATAAAAAGGAAAAAATGCGATGACTTGTTATTTGTTGCGACTTTCACCAGTTAATATTATAAAATATATATATTTCTTTATATACAATATGCTATGATCATACAATATATAATATAGACAGATCTACATGGACAAATATACAAATCTATATATATAATAGGAGAGTTCTCTCTCCCATTAGGGTGTCTACATCAGCATTTTCTCCAAAATTTGTAAAAGTTGTACTATTGGGCTTATATTATTTTGGGTCAAGAATGTTTACTTTACAATGTGTTAACAAAGTTTTGAACCTAAAATATTTTACAATGTGTTAACAAAGTTTCGGGTTTAAAATTCCAAACAAAGGCCTTCTAAACTTCCGTGAACTCTATTTCTTTAATAGGTTTTTCTTCTCTGTCGCTTTCGTTTCTCCTTCTACACATCAAGACTATAAAAGGGATATATGATAACCAGGGAATAGAAATTATAGATATGGTCAAGAAAAACATAAAACTATGGATATTCGTAGACCAAGGGGATTAACTAAAGCACCAACTTTAAGTCATTGATGAACAACGAAAATTTCTCAACTTTCACATGTAATTCAAGTGTACTTTAAACGTTTATGATAACACATAGTGAGAATTCATACGTATCAAAACACAAATGGAAACCTTAAGTTACTGATCCTAAAAAAAAGCTTCTTCCTTAGAAATTAGGTTTACAAAACTTATATAGTATTTGTAGTTTATTATAAAAAAATTTCTTTTTTATAGGTGTCAAAATCTAATCGATAAACATGATACATGTCGAGATCATGCGAGTCACTAACTTCGAAAATCAAATTTTACATATAAGATATATACATTTATATACATGTAAATATTAATGAGATTTTTTTAGAAATACCACTTTTGGTGTACCTCTTTTCAAAAATACTCTTTTTATCAATCCATTTTCAAAAATACCCCTGTTTAAATATGAAAAATTATAAAGTTTTATATGGTTTATAAGGTACTTATATGTAATAACTATTATTGAGAGATTCAATACAAATATTTAATAATGTTTTAAAAAGGTTTATAAGGTTAATAATCTCCAATATTGCTCCAGCCTAGTGAAGCTCCCATCTATTGGGTCTACTAAAAATCTTCAGCAATTGTATCTTGGTGGTTGCTCAAGTCTGATAAGTCTCCCCTCTTGCATTGGAACTTCCACTAATCTGCAAATATTAGCTCTCGGTGGATGCTCAAGGAATGTCCTCATGCTTTTGACATCATCAAAGAGCTGCACGTGAATGATAAAGAAATACAAGAGCTTCCTCCATGGGTCAACAAATTCTCTCGTCTGGAATCACTTTGGCTCAATAGATGCAAAAAGCTGGTGTCAATCCCACAGATGTCAGATTTTGTTTATTTCATAGATGCAACATATTGTGAGTCCTTGGAAGAGATTCCCCCATGGATCAACAAATTCATAGATTGTGAGTCCTTGGAAGAGTTTCCCCCATGTTATCAACTCCAACTCAAGAGATGCAGAAAGCTGGTATCACTCCCACAGATTCCAGATTCCCTCTCGTACATAGATGCAGAAGATTGTGAGTCCTTGGAGAAACTAGATTTCTCCTTTCAAAATCCATATATCCGTTTTCTCAATTTTTCTAAGTGCTTCAAATTGAATCAAGAAGCCAGAGACCTCATCATCCGAACACGGACTAGTGACTATGCAGTCTTACCCGGCGGAGAAGTGCCTTCATACTTCCCTCACCGAGCCACTACTGGAGGTTCCTTGACAATTGAGTTGAATGAGAAGCATCTTCCTACATCCATGAGATTTAAAGCTTGCATTTTGCTGGTTAATGAAGGTGAAGTAACCTTGCCGCACCACAAACGGAGCTTCTAAGTGTGATTAGCAGTACGTTCAATTTTTATTCAAGTCGTCGCATCCTCCACGCTTTTAAAACACGTCACGGTGGAATTGGATTTCCATTCGCCGGTGATCGCGTGATTAGGGTCACCACACCGGAGCCGTACTGCACTCCCATTCAGACCCTAAGTGTCAAAAGAGCCAGTGTTTCTTACCCCCAGTTTTATCAGAGCATATGTACATATTCGAAGTCGAAGCAGATGTGACTTCCAGCCAGCTTGTCTTTGAGTTCAAGGTCGACGTTAGGAATTGGAAATCTTGTTAAATGTAATAAATATTAATTTCTAATTTTGCAAATTTATTATGATTTAATTACAAAATGTATCTTAAACTTTTTCTATTTAATCAAATGACAAGGGTTTAATTATGCAAATATTACAAAATAAAAGGGTAGAACACAAAAGGTACTTCGAAAATGTTAATATAGATCCATAATATATTGAAATTTGAAAACATAGTCTAACTTAAAATAATTAAAAAATCAGTAAATTATCAAATATAAAAATGGAGGGAGTAGTATATAACTAGGTTAGGCCAGTCTAGATACGCGGGTTAAAAATAAATTTGTCAAAAATATTTGAAATTTAAATGATAAGTTATTTTAGAAAATTCATATTAATATATATATATAGTGAAAATTTATATCTTTATCTTAATAACTTGGATCCTAAACATATATAGGTTTAATAAATTAAAATTTAAATAAGCAATTCAATAATAAATAGGAGAAAAATAGATAAATAATTTACTAATAACCGTGTGTCTAAATTGGAGAATAACATAATTCCAATTTTTAGTCAAATTATGAGCAATAGAGGTAGGTTTCTGCTAATTCAAAGGTTAAAAATTTTAAAATTAATTTACACTGTTAACTAACCTCTTTGGTTTAAGCAACCAACACAATAATTGAGTATAAGATTAGAAATAATTTATAGGATTAGTAATACATAATTGGAAGAATAAGAGACTTACCGACTAAAGGAAACTTTATCTTGTACTTGATTCTCAGAATTGACGACCTAAAACATATAAATAATTATCTCAATAATGTAATTTACTCGTAATTAAACAAGCATATATACCTTTAAGCAAGGCCATTAATATAGATACTAATATCGTTCGTATAACGATGACTAATATTTTAAGTAACTGAAAGTAAGGTAACTTCACAATCATCCAAATGTCTCAATGATGACATTGGTTTTGGTAGTATTTCCAAACTTCATCAACAGTTGTTTGGCCAAGTTTGAGCCTTGCGTCTGCAGTCCCTCTTGTGTTTCCCTAAGCTTGTCTGAAACTGATCTACTGTCCATGAGTATATTGATGATCCTTGTCGGCTCTAAGGAGTAGTAACCGGCAAATCATTCACCAAGTTTTTCATTTGACACAAATCAGAGCTTTTGCCAACACAGTTAGAGTTGAAATGTAAGAGCTGTTGTTGTCAAATTCATACAAAACAGAACCAAAAGAGTAACTTTAAAACAGAGGAAGAGAGATATTATCAAGATAAAATATATATCT